CCAACTGGCTGGGCACGCACACAGGCACAGTGGTCTAAGTTCGACGATACCGCCGAGCTTCTTTCCTGTCTTCTGGTCCAGGTCGTATCTTGATTCGAGCACCAGCCCCAGCTCTTCGTACTTCTGCTGCCACCCTGTGCCCTTCTGCAGAATCTGCTTGGCCTGTGACAGGAGCTTGTCGACCGACCAGCCACCGGACAACCACCTGCGCTGGTCGAGGACCACGACGCCCCGATTGCCACCGTCTGTCGCCGGCTTCAGCACTGCCCCCGTTCCCCTGGGAATGCCGGCTCGCTCCACAGCGTCGATGAAGCCATTGGTGGAGAAATTCCCCTTCAGCGACCCATAGAAGGGGGATACGAACGGCACCCCAGCTTCACCAGCACGTGCTTCACCAGCAGCTTGTTCTCCAAGAACCCAAAGGTTTCGTGCTCGCGGTAGAGCTCGTACTGCAGATTCAGGCGATCGGAGGTGTGGCACGCGTGCTCATTCTCCTCTACCGTCACCGCTGCGGCCGTCTCGACACTCGTCCATTGATCAACGAACGCGAAGGCGCGGTCGAAGCCGCAATCGGCAAGGCCTCGCGTGAGTGCGAAGGCCTCGTTGAGCGGGAAACTGCCCGTTTGCTGCATCGCGAGCCACGCGCCCATGGGCGTGATTGACGACGACGTGGCGAGAGGCATGGGATTCGCGATCGGCAGGCTGGCGCCAGTGAACCCCGCACGTGGCGTTGCAGCAGACCTGGCGGCTTGGGTGCACGACGCCGGCCGAGCAGTCGGCGAATCGACGAGAGGAGGCCGTGTGCTCCACGGGCCTGATGGTGAGGTTGAGACGGTGGGAAAACATGCGTTGGGGCCGCCTCACTGTCACGGGAAGGGAGTAGGCGTCCGGGTTGACGGGCAGCTGGCCTTCCACTCGCGCTCACAGCGACCACGGCACAGATCATGCGTGATGCGCTAGGCGCAGCTGGAGCGAGTGCGCGCACGAGCGGCGGCGCGATCGTGCCAGTGCCCGCTTCGACGAGGCCCTGCACGACGTGCGCGCGCCCGACCGATCTGAATGCAAGCTACGAGTTTGCTCTCAGCTTGCAGCTCAACAACTATTCGTCGCGACGGCCCATCCCAACCATGGACATTCTCCAGCGATGCCAAAAAGATGACGACCGTCTCCGCGTGATCTTCTTGCTCCACAATCAAACGCTGTATTGGCACCGGACGACTTCACCACAACGGTTGCTCTTTCCGGAGCGGACGCAGCTACTGGTACAGCAGCTCTTCAGTATCAAGCAGCGTGGCTGGAAGCTTCCCGACATGCTGTTCAATTGGTGGTCTGTCGACAATGCACAGACCGCCAACTGCACAGGTCTCCACGGCAGCATCGCGAACCACAGTTCGCGAACCATTCCGTGAACCGAGCGACCCAGAAATTCGAACCAGGCAGCGCGCGGCGAAAGCCGGAACAAATGCGCAAGCACGAGAAGGACTATGAGCCCGGCAAGTAGGTTGGTGGGGGCGATCCGCGGCGGATACGGGAAAAGAAACTTCGGCGCAGGTCAGTCGACACGGGGGACCGCGTCCTCAGCGGGCTGAGTGGACGAGCGCTCGCAGCAGTCGGTCGCAGCAGTCGGTGGCAGAGAGGGGTGGTTCATGCGGCATCGTGCGTTGGTGCCATCCATTGACTCCTCGCGCTCCTCGCCATCGGCCCGCCCGAGATGTTTTCGTCCTTCTCGCCGTCGGCCGAGGCGCACCGCCTGGTCTTCCACCACCGTCTCAACCTCACCGTCAGTCCCGTGAAGCACACGGCCTCCTCTCGTCGATTCGCCGACTGCTCCGCCGGCGTCCAGGACCCAAGCGGCAAGGTCTGCTGCAGCGCTGCGTGCGGGCTGTGCGGCGGACGCGGCTGCTCCGGTCGGCCCGGCGGGCCACAGCAGTGCTGCATGCCCGCTGTTTTGCGCACGGGTCGGGTGTGCGAATCACGGGCGGACGTGGCCTGCATCCTGCGGGGCAGCAGCAACTACACCCGAGGCGACGGCGTTGAGCATGCTAGCCAAACGCGGTCGAGCTCTGCTGAGGTGGCCATTGGCATTGCCATGAAGCTGTGCGCCGCTGGCATTGAGCACGCGACCCTCCAGGTCTGTTGTAATGCATCCTGTGGTCAGTGTGGCAGGCACGGTTGCGCTTCTGCTCCGGGCGGGCCGCGCCAATGCTGCATGCCGGCCATCCTGCGTGATGGGAAGAGGTGCTTGTCGAGCAGAGATGTGGGCTGCGTCATGCGGCGCATCGACACGCCCACGAAGAGCCAGTTGGCCAAGGCCGTCATGCTGCGTAGCTCGACGCGCGCTCTGCCCGACACGGAATCGGACGCGCGCCGGGTACGGGAGAGCACGGAGCAAGCTGTATGCGCGCTATCGCGGCAGCAGAGCCGAGTGCAGTGCTCTGCGGACGGGCCGGATCGGAACTTTGGCTGCGTCGGCAGGGCGGGCAACTTCTCCGTCTGGACGGCGAGAGGCTGTCGTGGCATCTTCAGGTGCGGCAACAGTGAGCGAGCGGTTCGCTGTGGCTCATCCGCAGACTCGGTGGCGCAATGCCCCTGCCCGAGCTATGACGGTCAGCCGATGGCATGCGTCAACGACTGGAAGGTTGGGTCCGCGCGGCAGGTGCGCAGAGTGACCGTCGACGAGGTCGCAGTCATCTTGCTCACTGTCCTGTCCAACGTTAGCGCCCGGCGTCAACGAGCCGTCCGACAGACGTGGGGCCGGGCGCTGAATGGCGAGCTCTATGTGGCGTCCGAGCAGGAGATGCGAGCGAGCTTGGCCGGCCTCTCGCGCTACATACTGTCTCCCAAACGTCCCGCGCACACCCGGGACTATTACATCGCCGCACGCAGTCAATTCATGGTGCTGCAGCGGGCGCACATGGACGGAGCGTTTGCGGCGAAGCGGTGGGTCGTGTTGGCTGACGACGATGTCTTCATCAACGTGGCACACCTGCTGCGATACCTCGAGCGCTATGATGCGGACACGCCGCTTCTCATTGGCCACTGCCTCGGCCAGTTCCCCTGCTTTTGGGGCTTCACGATGGTCCTCTCTCGAGCGGCATTCCGGCCGCTCTCGGCTGATCTGGCGGAAGGGCGGCTAAAGCTGCCGAACCGCAACGACTGCGAACTGCTGGCGTGGGCGCAGCAGCGCAATATCACCACCGTGCATTCGAACCTCTTCTGGGGCGACAGGGAGCCGGAGTCGCGCAAGGTGCTAGACCAGGTCAGGAAGACGTTCGACCTCGACTTTGTCAACAAGGCGCGAGCCCCTGTGCGCGGCCCGTGAACGAGGCCCCCTTCCCACACTCTCGCCCTCGGTTGCTGACTGTAGGTGCTCGCCCCCAGCGTCACGGGCATGCTGGCAGTTCATGGTGCGTGCAGCGGCAAGCTGCAGAGCGTAATCGAGGCTGGAGTCGATGTGAGCTTGCATCCTCTCTCCCTCGAGCCGTTGCGGGCACGTTTGTACTCACTTCTTGTAGGCGGGATGGAACGTGAGCCGGCCCGCGGCGGAGGACTGTTCGCCGATGTACGAGATGCAGCGAATCGTGAGCCAGTATCAGTGATGGACACGGGCCGCGTCCTCAGCGCCTGCCGGGGGAGTTGGCGTCGCTGCCGCCGGCGCCGGTCGGTGGCTCGGCGGCGGAGGCAAGACAGACATGCGGGCGCTGATGACTGCGCGAGACGGTGGGAGCCGCGACGGCGCGAAGGAGAGGGCGGAGACGAGGGCGGCCAGCATCATGTGTACACGCCGAAGCTTCGACTGGCCGGGAGAGCAGGCGAGATCTGATATCATCAAGAAGAAGAAATGGACGCGGCGCGGCGATATCGCGGCGGGAGCCCACCACCTCAGCATCACACCATAGTCGCGCAAGTCGCGTCGCCGCGCGCCAAACGCGCAACGGTTAGAGGTAGGAGCCGCTCGAGGGAGGAGAGAGGCTGACCGTGAAGGCAGAATCAAAAGATGAGGCCGTACCCATGTTTCCTCGCGCACCCCGTCTCGTTCGTTCCTTTCCGTGTTTCTCCACAGCACCCTCTCGTTTCCTCTCTAGTTTCCCGCGGAAATAAGCGCTGGTTTGGGCCCAACAAGCAACATCAGCCAAAGCGGCAAAATACCGGCCACCACCACGACCTAACTAATCTCCCCACACCCCACATACCCACCGCAGCACGCACGCACACTGACAAGCCACAAGGCACAAGCAAGGGTGGTGTTTAGAAACACCGGGGTTTGGTCTTGAGGCTTACGCGCGCTCTCCGCGGATGCGGCGGGCCAGCTGGATGTCCTTGGGCATGATGGTGACGCGCTTGGCGTGGATGGCGCACAGGTTGGTGTCCTCGAAGAGGCCGACGAGGTAGGCCTCGGACGCCTCCTGGAGCGCGACGACGGCCGACGACTGGAAGCGCAGGTCGGTCTTGAAGTCCTGCGCGATCTCGCGCACCAGGCGCTGGAAGGGCAGCTTGCGGATCAGGAGCTCCGTCGACTTCTGGTAGCGGCGGATCTCGCGGAGCGCGACGGTGCCCGGGCGGTAGCGGTGCGGCTTCTTGACGCCGCCGGTGGCGGGGGCCGACTTGCGCGCCGCCTTGGTGGCGAGCTGCTTGCGGGGCGCCTTGCCGCCGGTCGACTTGCGTGCTGTCTGCTTGGTGCGTGCCATGGTTGGTTTGAGAGTGGTTGGCTAACGGTGCCGGGTATTTGATCGATTTCGAAGTGCGGGTGAGGGCAAACCCCTGCAGCGGCGCGCCGGCCGCGAGGAGTCTCGAGCCATCGCCGCCCTCTGGACGGCCGCCTTCCTCGCCGCCCTCCCCCTCGGCCCGCCCGGCGCCCTCCCCGCCTCGCCGCCGGCCGCGCGTCGCACGGTCGCGCGCCGAAGGCGCCGGCGCGTGCGGAGCCGCAGGGCTCGCCGACTCCCCGCAATTGCCGAGCCGCGGCACTGCATGAGTGCAGCTTGACGACGGCTTGCCCGGCTATGTGGACGAGCGTGAGGCCAGGTGACGCGCCTCGGCCCACCCTCATCCTACACGGAGCAGTCGCTCACCTCATCCCGCTCTCGCTAAACCGCCTTCCATTTCGCCGGTCTCCCATGTCCACGACTCTGATTCCGGCGCGCAAGCGATCGACCCGGGCGGAGCCCTAAAACATCCGCTCTGCCCGCCGACTGCGGCCGACTTCTTCCGCTGGAGCGGCTCCAGCCCTTTGGCGCCGTCGTGCACGGGCTGCCAAACCTCGCTGGCCACCGGCCGACGGCGCGAGTCCTCGCCTGCCTCGCCGACGCCGCAGCGGAGCACGGCTACCCGGTCTTTCGGAACCGGTCTCTGCCAGGCATGGCGCTGCGTGCGGTGAGCGAGTACTTTGGCGGGCTTGCCGCCGAGCGCACGCCACGCCGCTGCCGCGCACTGCGATTCCTGCGGCTGTCAAACCGGGAGGAGCACGGAGTCGTGCGAGTCGGGCCGCAGTGGCACGCCGACGGAAGCTTCGAGCGGCGGGTCTTCTCGCACGTGCTCTTCCACGCGCAGGCCGTGCCCCGCGTCGGCGGCGGGACCGAGATGTCCCACCTCGCCGCCGCCTTTGACGCCCTGCCCGCAGCGCAGCGGGAGGCGGCGGGCCGCGTGAGACAGCGACCGCGCGCCAATATCTCTCTGTTGAGCCCGGTCACGTCCTTCGGTAGGCGTGGAGCCGGCTGGCGACTGTCAACGCCTACTCCGGCGCCGTCCACCCGCTCGTCCACCTCCACCCTCGCACAGGCCACAGGACGCTCTTTGTCCACCTCAGCCAGACGGGCCGCCGCCCCAGAGAGAGAGAGAAAAGGGGGCGCGAGCGTAGGCGCCGTCGTGCGCTGGCCGACCGCCCCGGCGCTCCCGGCGCCGCCCCTCGAGGCGATGGACCCGGCCGTCGCGCCGAGCGCCGCCTTCGGCCACCGGCTGCTACGCCGCAGGTCGCTGCGCCGGCTCGCGAGGCAGCTGGAGGCGCTGCTCTCGTCGGCAGCGCCCGCACCGCAACTGCCCTCGCTGGACGAGCGCGCGCCTCCTCACGCCTAACCGTGACGAAGAGCAGGCGCCGCACCGCGCGCTCCACACTTACCGCCAGCACGACCTGCTCCTCCGCGACAACCCCGCAGTGTCGCACCGCGGCTTGGGCGCGCGGCGGCGTGTGGCAGGCTTCGGACCACTGGGGTGTGGGCTTCCGCTGGAACGCAACGACGCCCATGCGGACTGAGGCGGCGCGAGGTCCACCACCCACGACCTCTCGAGACCCACACCCTTTCCCGCCCGACCGCCACGCCACGCTGTACTTCTGTCGCCGCCCTGCCGCCACGCCACGCTGCCGCTCCAGCGGAGTGGAGCTCATGTCCCGGATAGCGCGCGCGTGCGCGGCCTCCGCCAGTGTCAGCGGCACCATCGCACACCTCCGCCGCCATCCCCACCGCCACCACCGCCGTCCCGTTTCCTCCTCCATCGCCGCCGCCGCCTCCGGCTTGCGTGCCCGCCACCACCGCCGTGGCCGTCGCCGCCCAGCTCGCCGCCGCCCTCGCCGCCGCCACCCTCGCCGCCGCCCCGTCGCGGCTTTGCGCGCCCCGCGTCGCGGCTCCGCGCGCGCCGGCGCCTTCGGCGCGCGACCGTGCGACGCGCGGCCGGCGGCGAGGCGGGGAGGGCGCCGGGCGGGCCGAGGGGGAGGGCGGCGAGGAAGGCGGCCGTCCAGAGGGCGGCGATGGCTCGAGACTCCTCGCGGCCGGCGCGCCGCTGCAGGTTTTGCCCCTCACCGGCTTTCGAGAGGAGGTTGCATGAGGGAGGCAAAGCACCACCAACCAACCACTCTCAAACCAACCATGGCACGCACCAAGCAGACAGCACGCAAGTCGACCGGCGGCAAGGCGCCCCGCAAGCAGCTCGCCACCAAGGCGGCGCGCAAGTCGGCCCCCGCCACCGGCGGCGTCAAGAAGCCGCACCGCTACCGCCCGGGCACCGTCGCGCTCCGCGAGATCCGCCGCTACCAGAAGTCGACGGAGCTCCTGATCCGCAAGCTGCCCTTCCAGCGCCTGGTGCGCGAGATCGCGCAGGACTTCAAGACCGACCTGCGCTTCCAGTCGTCGGCGGTCGTCGCGCTCCAGGAGGCGTCCGAGGCCTACCTCGTCGGCCTCTTCGAGGACACCAACCTGTGCGCCATCCACGCCAAGCGCGTCACCATCATGCCCAAGGACATCCAGCTCGCCCGCCGCATCCGCGGAGAGCGCGCGTAAGCGGTCCGGCTCGCCGGTCCGGCTCGCGGTCCGGCTCGAGACCATCCCGGTGTTTCTAAACACCACCCTTTCTGTCGCCCCTACTGTCGCGTGCCCAGTGAGCAGTGTCACGTGCCCTGTGGGCTTGGGCGCACCCCACCCCGCTCAACGCAAACACTAGTATGGAGAAACTAGAGGGTGTTTGGTGCTCCATTGGCTGGCAACTCGCTCGAGTTTCCCTGAGTCTTGCGTGGTATGAGAGTTGTGGTCAGTGACAGTGTGGTCTCTGGGGCAAAATCTGAGGCGAAACCGAGTTTTCGAATCGGCAAAATACTGCGGTGGGGTGTGGGGTGTGGGGAGATTAGTTAGGTCGTGGTGGTGGCTGGCGGTATTTTGCCGCTTTGGCTGATGTTGCTTGTTGGGCCAAACCAGCAAGCGCTTATTTCCGCGGAGATTCCTCGGGAAACTAGAGAGGAAACGTGAAACGAGAGGGGGCTCTGTGGAGAAAGAAGGAAAGGAACGAACGAGACGGGGTGCGCGAGGAAACATGGATACGGCCTCATCTTTTCTGGATTCTGCCTTCACGTTCAGCCTCTCAGGCTCTCTCCTCCCTCGAGCGGCTCCTCCGGCCAGCCCCGGGCGTTGACCGAGATTCGCCGAGGTCGCAGGCGGCGTTGTACTCGCTCCGCCAGCAACGCGGCCCGACAGCGGCGGCGGCACCCGAGGTCTCGACCTCCAGCTGTGAGTGCGAGCAGCGACTCTTTCACGCGCCTCGCTGGGACGGATAGGCGGGCCGCAACGCGCCGCAGCTCGGCGTCTTTGGAAGCAATCCCGGCGGGCGGCGCCGCGGGCGGTATGACTAGCGCCTCCGCCGCCGCCGATCCTCTCGTTTCTCCCTTTCTGCGACTGTTCCGCGATGTCTGCCCCGCGACCCATAGCGGCGGTGGGCTCTCTACTGGCGGCTCCCTGTTGATTCGGCCCTGGCCTCTGATGCGGCGGCCGTTGCGTGACCCCCCGGGCGCACATAGCATCCGCGCACCCCCACCGTTGGGCGCATGCGTTCTTCATCTCTCGGCTCCCTCCCCGTTCTTGCTTGAGTCGCAGTCTCTCTCCGGCCTTCGTTCGTCCGGTGATCCTTATCGTTTTTGCGTCTCCGTTCCCCCGCCGGCTCTCGGTCCTCGTTCCCCGCTGTATCCCCACGGAGCCCGGTCAGCGGTCTCCTACTGGCTACTCCTTCCCCCTTACATAGAAACATTCTCTAGTAGGACGGGAACGAGATGATAGTAGGGAGTAAGAAGAAAGCAAAGAGGAGCCCTGCGCACGCACGACTCCGCAGGAGAAAGCCCCTCCCCAGACAAAACACCAGGGAGAGGGGTGGGTGGGTCACAGAAAACTGCGGCCGCCAGCGACAGAGCGTCTCGCTGGCGGACGGCGAGAGGAACACAAAGGGACGTACGGACGTCCATCCACTGGGATGAGAATACTGGAGATCTGAGGTCGAATCTGCCGATTCCACAGCCGCCCACAGGAGCGCCGCCTCAACACGGGGTCTCGGCTCTACCGAGCCATGCTAAGAAGAGGGCTGAGGGGCGCGGCCCGATGTTCGTTATTGCGCAAGCGCAAGCGCTGATACGAGACCACTTCGACATTTCTCAGCAATTTCGGCGCCAGAGTACAGCATTCCATGAATGTAAATGCGCGGCAGAGTGTCGGCGCTTGTCGAAAGAGCGCGCTCCAGGGTCGAGCCTTGCCCAACCTCGATCGACACGTAGGGAATGCCCAACGCCTCGAAGCACTCGCGGGCCGCGTCGCCGGACGGGCACTCGCTGCGGGCAAAGACTACTACCGAGTTCTGCTCCACCTTCTCCAGCACCGCCGCACGCAGCTTCTCTGCGCGTCCGGCAGCAACAATTGTAGGCCCCTCGATGGGCGCGTGCTCAGGAGCATCAATGCGCAGCGCACATGGGAGCAGCCAGAGTGACATTCGTACCCAGCTACCCGCGGAGCTGGCGGGGGCGCGAAGCTAAAAACGGCGGGCCGCGGCGCGCGCCTGGGCAGTGACAGACTGGCGTACGCGTGGCGCCGGCAGTCAAAATGCGTGGCGTGGCGCGTCACACAATGCGCGGTGTGTCGAATCACACAATGTGCGGCGTGTGCATCGTCGTGCTGCTCGCCCTGAGTGCCAGTGCCCAGGACTCGGCGACCTGGACGATGCGGCTCGGCAGGCGGCAACGCGACGTGTGTCAGGAGTCCACCGGGCTGATGCGTCTCCTCTCAGTCATGTGGGGCTGGGTGAGTGGCTCAGAGGGCGGGCCGTGCGAGGTGCGCGAGGCGGTGTGCGATGACAGCCTGGTAACCGGCCTGTCTGTGCGCAACTCGGCGACGAGGCTCAAGGGCTCTAGTCTCATCCGTTCCAGCCGCTGCTGGTGCCTCGTCGAGGTGCCTCGACGCCGCTGAATCAGCTACATGGCCGGCGCAGCAAACCTCGCCGCCGCTGTCGCGTCCGGTGCGGACGTCACCACGGTCGAGCGGCTGCTGGCGGGCAATGCCGACATCTCTGCAGTGGCGGGTGAGAGGCGTGAGACAGCATTGCACTTTGCAGCACGGCGCGAGCCCAACCTCACCTCCATCCTCCTCTCCGCTGGTGCGTCGCTCGACTCTACCTGCACCGAGGGCTTCACGCCGCTTCACGCCGCAGCGCATGCCGGCGCCGCGCAGTGCCTGAGCATCCTCCTCGCTGCTCCCGGCGTAGAGGCTTGCGCACGGACGAGCCGCGGCGACTCCGCTCTGCATCTGGCCGCCATCTCAGGCAGCGGGGCGGCCGCGGCCCTCCTGCTCGATGCGGCGCCGGCGCTGCTCGACGATCGCAACACTGCGGGCTGGACCGCCCTAATGCTCGCCGCGGGATGCGCCCCGATCGGCTCTGATGCCGTGTGCACCCTCCTCGACAGCGGCGCGCGAGACGCCCCGCCCCGCCCTCCAGTCGACTCGCGATGGGTATGCAGTTGTGAATGTCTGAGTATCGATTCGCTGCTCGCAGGTGCGCGAGACGCCCCGCCCCGCCCTCCCGTCGACTCGAACGCGATGCTGCTCGCTGCCAGTCGAGGCCATGCCGCCGCACTGCGGGCGCTGTTGCAGAGGCTGGTGGGCGGTGGCGCTGCCGCCGCCGCAAGCGCCACGCAGGCCGCCACAAGCGCGGGCGACACTCCTCTGCTGCTCGCCGCGCGAAGCGGTTGCGCCGGCAGCGTGCGTCTGCTGCTCCGCGCACATGCCGACGTGGCGGCTCGCAACGTGCACAGGCGCTCGGGCCGCGAGAGAGTCGCTACCGAATGAGCCGTTCCGGTGCCGAAGAGTGACGGGTTCCTCCTCAGGCTCGGCCCGCTGGACATGGCGGTGGAAGGCGCGTGCGAGCAGCAGGAAGATTGCGTGGGAAGGCACGAGCAAGTCCTGCGGATTCTGTTGGCAGCGGGCGCGGCGCCGGAGGAGGGCGTGCCGGCGCTGGACCGCCTCGCTGCCGCGCCCGCGCCGCTCTGCCGCCTGGTCTCGCTCGCCGCCACGCTGCGCAGGGCTGGTTTCGACACTGCCGCCGCCGCTCGCTCCGCCGATGTGCAGCGCCGTCCTGCCCTCGCCGCCGCGCTTCGCGCCCGGCGGCCGCCGCCGCTGCTGCTCGCACTGCGGTGTCCCATCGACGAGGCGCCTCCCTCGGCCATCACGGTGGAGGAGGGCCGCCCCCCTCTCCCCGCCGCGCACCTCGAGGGCCTTTCTCCGCGGGCCGGCGCTGGCGCGATCGCCAGATTTGCCGAGACCCGCCGCCTGAGTGGC